GCTGAATTTAAATTTGCGGGGTCACACGTGAGTGGGGAACGTTCTCCTAAATTTTCAGCTTCCTAGTTTTTGTGGTTCCCGAGTTGAAAGTTGCGACAAGTTGCTACGGACACACACACACACACACAAACACACACAGACAACCCCGTGACAATATGCGTTTTGTACTGCTGTTACACAGCACAAAACGCACAAAAAAAAGCGCTACCGGCGAACATTTGCCGTTGGCATACCCAAATTTTTCAGCTTTTCATAGAAGGTAAATTACCGAAGGGATTTTGACGATTTCTCGACTTGCAAAGAGGTTTTGCTTAATTCCTTTGGTTTTGCTTAATTTTTTTTTTTTTTGCTTAACATATGCCCCCAATCCTTCTCTAATGCTTCATTCAGGCTAATTAAACTTTCCGTCGAAAAAAAACAGATAACCTGTTTGGCGCTCTGATATGGCGTTTTGGTCGTTGCAACACTGGTGTTTCGATGATTCTGCGTTTTCCCAGTTTCAGCAGTTGCTGCTCGCCTTGCTCCATTCCTCGATTCACTTCGCTCATTCTTACTTCTTCCTCCACATTCTGCAGTTTCGCTTTCTTCGGTGACGGCGTGCCCAATTCCTCCTTATCACCGTTTTTTTCGTGCATTTGACAGGCAGCTGATTCCGAAACATTTTTTGCGTTTTCCCGAACAGAATTCAAAGTTTCTGCACCACTTTTTGTCAACGTCAGACACTCAGGCAGTCTTCGAAGTCTTTTTAATTCTGGGGTTTCCAGAACCCCTAGTTCCACTCGCACACCTAAAATGCACTTCCATTTGGATGTCAGTTTGTCTTATGCTTTCATACAGAAACGATGGTCAATATTTTTGTAAAAATTTTAGATTAATAACAGGATAAAAGGATTTGTCAGTGCAGCTTGCCTTTCCACTGAAACGTTGCAAGACTGTCACCCAAATTTGTACCTTTTTTTGCTTCAAAAAATCCACCGTTTATTGGTTTTCTTTTACTTTCTTGATATTTAGTAACTTCTTCCAATTCTAAAACTCCTCGATTAATTGCTATTAATATCCCTCTATCTTAATGCGAGCTCGTTCCGTCCACTGAATATATAACATACGACATACGCCCACAAATAAATCATTGGCAACGAGCACTAGGGGGC